CCGACGGGGCCAGGGATGCTTCAGGTCCATCCCCGTCCCCACAAAGCCACCAGTGCAGTGGCCCAGCTTAGAGCCCGTCCCCTTCCCCAGCCCGGGGCAAGAGAAGGCAACAACACGCTACAAACATCTGCTACTCGCTCCCTGCCCTCCCCGGGAGGGCTGGGCCCAAAGAACACGCTGGCCCCCAAGAGCAGGACAGCCCCAAAAAGCAGGGCAGCCCCCCAGCTCTGCCCCTCCCTGCTCCCAGGGCTGGCAGGAGGGTGATAGCAGGGCTGGGAGCAGCAGGGAGCAGGGAAGGAGGCAGCCAGAGAGCCGCTGCCTCGAGAGGGAGCCCTGGCACGGGGAGCCCTGGGAGGTCTGTGTGAGAACAGTTCATCTGGCAAGACAGGCATCCAGTTCATAAATGAGGCTCAGAAACAATCATTCCTGTTCTCAGCACAGGTCAAAACTCTTCCAGTGGCACCAGGTGACAAACCAGGACATCCTTCCCCCACCTGGGCATGCAGGGAGGGCAGAGGCAGCCCCAGTTTTGGGCTGGGATGGTAAGAAAAGCTGGGAACAAATACAGTAGACACTTCAGCCTGCCCCTTCCTACCTCTAGGTGGATTACTTTGGGAAGCTTTTCACATTATAACTCATAAATTACATCTGTACCACAAACTGAGGGGGAAAATGCTAAATCAGAATTAATGCAACTGTAACTGCACCTGGGACAAGCTACTGAAAAATAAGATTAAATCATAGATCCTTATAAACCAAAGGAATCAGTGAAAGGGGGGAGAGGGGGCAGAGGCCCCAGGGGGCCAAGTCCTGTGCAACCTTCGAGCTGGGACAGGATCCCAGCCCTGCAGCTGGTGCTGCCGGGATGACTCCTCGGCTCCTGCCGGGCCCTCCGGTCACAGCGGTGGCCACACGGCCACTGAGGGCTGGTCAGCACGGCCAGACCGGGTGGCACGTAAGGACAGAAACAGATTTGATGCAGATGAAGGGAAGTGGGAGGTTTCAAGAAATTCTTCCTTTCCAGAAACCCTGGTAAATCCAAGCTTATTCAGACCACACGGAGCGGGCGCCGCACGGGGCTGCTCTGTGCCAGCAGCTTCACCCTCGGAAGTCTCCTCCTTTCCCACAAGCTTTGCTCGATCCAGAGAACAGCATGGTTAAAAAGACAAGAGAGGTAGATTACAGTCATGATTAAAAGCAGATTAGTCATCTAGGCTTCGATTTTAAAAAACAGATTCCAGAAGATGCCAAGAGGTTTGCTGCTTCCAAAACTAGCTTTTCCAAAAGTCTTCTCCCTCCGGAGCGGGTGTGAGTGCGTGTCCCTGGACAGAGCTTGGGATTTGCTACATTATTCCCCGTCGTGGGACACCGGTATTGCTGTAGGCTGGAGCAGGCAGGTGAAGGCAGACTGCAGGGTGGTGCTCGTGCTCTCGGGGCGTGGGGAGCTACTTCCGGAGGTACCTCTGGGCCAGGATGGCCGCGTCCAGGGGGTTCATGGGCTGCGCGTCGTGGCCCAGGCGCCGCACCGGGGGGATGTTCCCGAACTGCCGCTTCTGCAGGAAGCTCTTGGCCTCATGCAAGGTGTTCTTCTCCTCAGCCAAGAGCAGCTGCTGCCTCATGTAGTTCTCGAACTCGTACTGGGAGCACTCCTCTGTCACCTTCACCTGCAGAGACCCACCTGT